TGTTTACCTAAATTGGTGCAGTTTCTTTGTTTAATCACAGTAACTTTCCAATTGCATAAACAGCTGATGTAATAAAATACACGTTTTGTGAATGTAGCCATATATTATCATTTGGTAGGATAATTTCAGTTTGTACAAAAATATAGTTACTATATACACTGCCTGTGTAGGGATGGCTCGGATTGTTCATCGAAATAGATTTTAAATATCTCCTCAATGGGTCATCAGAGCTTTACAGCACTATATAGTTTTTTTCCTTTTATAACAATATCTATGTAATGACTGAGTCACAATTTCTGGGAATGTCTATAAATATCATAGCAAAAAGTTTTAATTTTTTGTTATTCTGCTTCTTTTTATTACATGATAATTCAAAAACCAAAATAATGAGGCGACACAGTTTCAAATGGAATAACCTCTTTTATAAGTATTATTAACTAGTAGTATTTTTTTAAATCGTAATTCTAGTGTAAACGATGTTATCATTAGCCCTTGAAGTAAGCTTTTTTACAAAAATTTGATGTTCCTTTAAACAGTTTAACTACAAGGTGGAACAGGAATTACCAGCTAATAATAGATAAGTAATAAATATTATAGTTGGAAGCTAATTGTATTTAGAACTTGGTTATAAGTACAACCTATTGAAACACTGCATTAAAAAACAAGCAAACTAGAAAAGAAATACTTTTCAGAAAAGGAAGTAAATGTAGGGATGGCTATAATCAATCCTTCGAAAACAATGCAAACAGGATAGTAGGGATGTCACTTGCATCATCCCTACATAATAGCACAATCAAGAATTAATATATATCAGTCTGATTATAATGGACATAGCGTGTATGTCAGTATCTACGCATGTAACAAAACTCCTGCGCCATCTATTGAATGGCACCTCAAACAAAAATCCATAAAAATATTCCACACTTTGGATATTCAATATTCAGACAATTAGAAAAATGACCGTGGTATGTGCAACAACCATTTCCCCTTACAACAAGAGGCTCGACATGACTAGGTAGTTATGACGCTCGACTCGCAATCTGAGGGTCGCGGGTTCGAACTCCCTTCCCACCAAACATGCTGGCCCTTTCAGCTGTGGGGGCGTTATAATATGACTTTCAATTCTATTCGTTGGGAAAAGTGTAACCAATGAGTTAGCGGCCTTCCCTCTAGCCTTTCACTGCTAAATTAAGGACGGTTAGCGCAGATAGCCCTCGTGTAGCTTTGCGCGAAATTCAAACAAACACAACAAGGACTTACGTGAGGGTTTGATTATATCTTTATAAATGTAGTACTGAGAGCATGGAGTTCTTAAAAAGCTATTATTTATCCAATAAATGGTACCACTTCAATACATATAAAAACATTATAGTTTATATCAGTGAAATTTATAATTTTGAGCTCTGTACATTGAATCATTTTGAGTTGCGTATGACTAAAGGAAACAATCCGAACATTTTCTCAGAAAAAAATTTATTTTTAGAAAATGTTCACTTTTTCTAATTTTTTCAATGAGGTATGAATACCAAGATAATTTTTAGCAGTTTTTTGTTAGTATCTATAACTATTCAATCAAAATTAAGTTTAATTTATTCTATTCTTGTCTGTTAACATTCTACTACACTGTATGCCAGTGCTATTATGTAAGGATGATGCAAATGTCATCCATACTATATTGTTTGCATTGCATTTGAAGGATTGGCATTAGCCATTCCAACATTTACTTCCTTTTTGGAAAAGTGTTTTCTTTATCTATATAGTTAAATATTTATGTACTATATTGCCCTCTAGTGACCAGTAACGTCACTATCGCTCAAATAATTAAGTTTTCCCATGTATCGAAACAAATGCAAAACCCTGATGGCCATGAGATAACACTGTTCAAGTTACAGACACAAGTCCAAAAGATAAAATCGCATTATAAAAAACACAGATGCAGAAACTTAATATTACAACTGTTTTATTTGCTTAACACATACGCAAAACAATCGTGATCGTGATTTATTTAAGTGATCGCAACGCAACAGCATTCCGCAACTTATTAAGCCAATGAAGCTAAGAGGTCATATCATCTACTAATTAGCAAACGAATTCTAGCTTGCCATCACTGAGACTGTTTGAATACAGGGTACATACATTACTAACTGTTTTTCTCAATCAAAATTAATATTTCGAGTTCATGTCAGCCTGTCGTATTTACCATATTGTTTGGCATCTTAATGATTGCCCTTCAAAATTACACATATTTTTTTTAAATTCATGAGAACGTTTATTTTGAAAATCTATTAACATTAATTAAAACTAACGTATATTGAACGAGGGAAGGGAGTTAAAAATAATTTCAATGAAATCATGCCAATATGACAGTATCTTACTCTTCCACTATCAATAACGTGTATTGTTTCAGATTTATAACATTTTATGAAAGGTTTACAGAAGAAAACGAAATTTTACAAGATAAATAAAAAATTGGGGATTTAAAAACCTGCAAATAGGGATCGCAAAAAAAGGAAACAAGGCTGGAGATAGTGTAGACATTACTTACTCAAACTAAAAACACCTATTTTGTCTCCATGCTGTAGATTGTATCTACGTGTTACACTCATGTAATGTTCATCTATTACTGTCTAGTAATACCTGTTTCACCCTGTACTTAAGATTTTCAAAGGAACACCAGATGTTTGTAAGAAAGTTAACTTCAAGGGGATAATGATAACATCGTTTTAACTAGAATTATGTTGTTTATTAGCTTATCTAAAATATAGAAGAAACAAATAAACTTTTCAATAACCCCACGACTTCGCAGTACCTTATTTAGTATTCTACAATAGGTTTGGGTGCAATGTACCAAGCAATATTTATTGTAGGGTAGTAAGAGAATAATAATAATTACAAACTGGCCGTTTTGAAAGGATTTTCTTTTCCTTGCAAGTTCAACATACGTGCTTTTTTGTGCATTTTTATATATGTATCGTCTTAGCAGTTAATAATAAAGGTTTATAAGTATTGTTTGAACTGAAACTTTACTGTTTATTAGGGTTTTGTACAATTCTTGCGATCCCTGTTAGGAACCACTATCGTAGTTCATGATTACTCATACGTCAAAAACAACAAATGTACATCAATGTTAGTGAGTTTGGAGAAACCACATCAACACGTCTCAACAATCCCTGTTAGGTACGATAAATTTTCTTGTTCATTCAGGGAGCTTCATACCAGTTTGGTAAAATGCAGGTGTGATATTACGGATAAAATTACATAGTTGCTTTACGAACATTACCTGATTGGAAGTATTGTACACCCACACATTTCCTTCAGACAACTAATATGATGGAGGTCACAAGTTGTTGGGTCAGGACTCTATCGGACGAGAAAGGCTGTTCATCTGAACTTCTCAATTCCAGTCGTTGGACAATGTGCAATATGGTGTTTGGTATTATCATGTTGTAGAACTCCTTATAGCAAAAGAGGTATGTTTACTGCTATTGGTGAATCTAGTTTCTCTCTGAACACTCCTATGTTTCAATGTGTACTGTTACAAACTCTCTTTGGGTTCTTCTGTTAATTGGAATTCATGTTACATTTCTAATACACGTGGTAAACATTTTAATAAAAATACTTCACAAACCAGTTATTTTTAAAACTTCTAATTACAAATTTACTAGCACCTTGACATGGCCTAATGATTAGGGCACTCAACTTGCAATCTGCGAGTTTGAATCCTATCAACAAACACACTCACTATTTCAGCCATGAATGTGTTGTAATGTGACAGTCAATACCAATTGTTCTCGGTAACAAAATAACCCAAGAGTTGGCAGTGGGTATGTTGAATAGCTACCTTCCCTCTAGTCTACCATTTCTACATTAGAAATGGCTGTTGCACATAGACCTTTAGTAGCTTTGTGCAAAATTCAACAAAAAAACACTTTCATTAATTCCATTTTTGGTTATAAAAATAAACAAAATATGATGGTTTATGTAATGATAAAATAACACAAAAGTAGAAACACCCTTAAGCCACAAGCATCATTTGTAGCATGGTGTACCACAACGCCAGCTACATTGTGGATGTATCAGATATGAAGAGGTTATTATAATATCATTGTCCCAAATGATAAGAATTTAGAGGCTTTGATTAAAAGGAAAATCAACCAAATTATTTGTCAAATTTGTGAATTGGAAAATTTCTCAGCCAGAAACAGAAGCAAAGTGTACTAATAACACATACCAAAAATTGAACTCAATTTTTAATAAAACCTTCTCATCAGATGATACTAGAACTAGGAATTATTGAATAAAATTCCACTTCTTCTCAAAAGTAAACAAAAAATTATCTTGATCATCATGCTGGAACTTTGTTTTTTTTAATTTCAAACATGTTACATCCTCATGCACAGGACTGATATACCAGTAAAGATATTGTTACAATACCTCATCATCTTAAATAATGGATTTTTGGGGCAAAAAGTAGAAAAACATTTTAATAATTCAATTAGTGTTCTTTCCCTTAACAGAAATGTAGGAGGTATTTCCAACTTTTCTTCAGCAATTCTAAAATCCATTTTAGCCATAACACTATTTATCATTTGTGGTTTAAAGTTGAGAGAAATATAAATTTCAAAGATGCCAATTTACGTTTTCAGAAGAAAGGCACAAACAGGCACGTCTTTTTATTTTACCTACAAGTATGATGAAAGAAAGCATGAATTTAGAGTTATGTTCAGAACTGTAATATAACCCATAAATGAAGTCCCTCAAAAAAGAACCTTTTTTCGTTTTACAAACTCATAATCATTTAGTGCCAAGTCTAACACTAACTGTAAGTTACATTTAAAACTAATTATCATTTTAGAGAATTTCTCAGCCACTAAGATACATCAAGTCTTATTTATTCTAATTTTATTTAACCATACAGAAGTGAGCAGTAAGCTCAGCATAATGTAGTACTAAGTGTTTCATATTGCGATGTTCAGAAAAAATCCCAAAGTGACCAGTCATAAATTCAATGTATCCACCTCATTTATTACAAGACCACTTCTATACACAGGATCACATTAGTTGCTCTGAGCAAAAGTGAAGCTGGCCAAACAGCAAGAAATATCACTGAACAGAAAGAAATAAAAAAATTCATCCTAACTTTAGAATTAAAAGAAACGAAAACAAATCAGCTTCCAAAAAACTACAGATAAAATTTCTATGAACTACAGATAAGATTTCTATGAACATTTGTCATCTTGAAAACTACCCACTTTTTATGCAAATATTCTTTAAAAAAATTAATTTTCTTAGGTTATAGCCTAAAAATACATCAACATTTTACAAAAAATTTACAGATCTTCACATACCATAAGGTTTTAATCCCAAGGGGGATAAAAAGTTAATGTTATAAAACATGTTTCCAATCAACGGATTGATAAGTTTAAGAGAGACAAAGAAAAAGTCAGATTGTTTGAAATCAAACAATCACAAATAGAAAAAATAGTGAAAATCATTTTTTGAAACATTTCTTTTGTGATACTCTGAATTTAGTAGTCTACTAATAAGCAACTTAGCTATGAACGAATACAAAAATTTCAAAGATATGTTCTTTTTTCTTTTTAAAAGCATCATTATGTACAAGTACAACTGAACTTACAAATCACAATTTAATGAAGATTAACTGAATTAGTAGAACAAATTCTGGAAATTCTCAAGATAACTAACAATAAAATACAAATACGCAACATCTAGCTAACATCTTTTTATTTTTTTAACATAATACTAGTTATGACTGTAGTTTATTATCTAAACAATAAAAGTTACATTTATCAGAGCTATCTATGTTGCCTATGTAATGCTTTAAAGAATCTTAGAACAAAGAAACAAAGTAAAAACATCCCTCATAACTAGTGTGCAATCATTTCCCTCGGTTCATTGTAGTAGCAATAAGAACCATTTTCTTTACTTTCTTCTTCTTTTTACCTCCACGCTGTTCTTGTTCTGAATTGAAATAAAAAACAATGTGTAAACAAACCAAATAGTAAAATGAAGAACATATCTGATCATGAATATAAGATAAAACTTTTTTTTTTCTAAACATAAAACACATTAAAAATATCTTCAATTAAAGAAAAATACATAGAGGACATTGTTTGGGTGAAGACTTAGTATTACCTTCTCTGTACCACAGACACGTTCTTTTCGGCAATGAAAAAGCATAATAATAGTCTTTAATTCTTTCCAGTTTTTGTTATAGAAAGAAGATAAATAGATCACTTTTAAAAATCATGTTTGTTTTACTTGTTTATTAAATAAGCATTAGTAACATTAAGATTTTTTCATTCATCCTAGGTACAGTGACTTACAAAATTAGATAAGTATACGGTGTTGACGTTTGTGGTGCCTTCACCCTCTGCCATCTATATAAATTAAACACAGTTGTCCACCTGTCTGTTGAGTAACTTTATGTCACAAGCTGTTGCAAGGAAGTGGGCAAATAAATTTCAAATAAAATTGGTAGAGAAACAGAGGTGAACCGTTAGTGATATTTTCAATTGTAATCCTAATAATATCTCAAGAGGTTCACCAGCTTAAGAGATTTAAGTTGGACCTGAACCTATATTGTAACTTAATAGAAAATGAACTTTATAACATATACACATAAAAATATATATTATGAAAAATAATATATCTATTACATATTTTAACCAACACTGTTAAAGAAACTAACATTAAAGAAAGAAACAACCTACTTTACATAAATCAAACACGAAAAAAATCCGGACACTAATACGTGAAAATCATTACATAACAGCCTCTAGTGACCAATGAAAGCTCATTAACTCTTTCAGCACAGGCTCAGTCCCTTGGACCAACCTCGTAACCATTTTGTGCTTGTTATAGTTTTCATGCTATAACTTCTTAATTGATATGAGAGTGTTAACGAAATTAAGCAGATTATCAGTAAACATTACAAAACATTGAAATTTCACGTGTGAAATCTTTATAATGTTAAGATAGTTATCAAATGTTTTTTTAAGAAAGAACTTCATATTTTATCTGTTATTTTCAGTAATTAATCTCTGTACGGGTTCAGTAGATTTGACCAATCGCACAATCA